TTTTATTCAAATTGGGTGTCTTTAAAATCAAGAAAGATTGTAACTTTAGATCCAGAAATACATTTTTAGCTCAAAATGCCAGTTTGTTACATCTGCCAGGTAGCTTTAGACCAGTCTACAAGGGGTGTGGTAACTATCATTGAATATGATAACGTATTGCAGAGAAATGGGGGACAAGTAACTCAAAATATGCTTAAAAATGGGGATTTTTCAAATCAGAAATATAGTAAATATATGAAATCTCCAGTCAGAGAGAGAAGAAAACACAGGGATGAGCAGGAGACAGGAAACTGCCGAGTGCAGACCTGCAGACATGGTTAGTGTAATTTATATATTTTTAATTATTTTTGTGCTCAACATTATTAGGAGTACCATAATAAAGATTAAATTAGTTTAACCAACAAGTGAAACACAAGTAATGGTAACATAACAATGTTATTTTTCTCCCCTTTTTGTAGATTAAAATGGTGGTGCATTAACGTTGTTCACGTTTGTTTCTTCCTCTTTTTGGTCACATTTTTTATTATACCCTTGTTTGTGCTAATTAGTCAATATTTAGTACTTCAAGTAACATTTCTTATTAATGACGAAATAGAAAGTAAGTACTTTTTCACTTTTACTGATCTAATATAATTCTTACAGAGAATCTTTAAGTAGAGGTATATTTTACCATATCATCCACAAATAATGAGATTGTTCTCTAATTCCCTTTCATCATTTTGGGTATATATAATGACCAAACTTTTCGGTGTATGATGGTGACTAACCATTAATAAATCACATGTCCTACTCCTATCTATCAATGATACATTAAATTGTTTGATTCCAACAGCTCAATTCCCACACCGATTGTTGCCTAAAATCACATTCTCTCACATGCATGGCTTCAATCAATTTTTTCTCTTTACTATTTTTGTTTTCGCACTTTGTATTATATCACAAAACAATACATATGGACTGTAAATGTACTCCCAATTCACTTCTCTATGACTAGATATGGACTGTAAATGTACTCCCAATTCACTTCTCTATGACTAGATTGAGTCTACGACATCAATAATAGAGATACGCCATTTGAATATAACTGGATGCGCAAAAAAACGAGAAAAAGAACGTGGTAACAGAAGAAGGCAATGATGGCTGAAACAATGAAAACCAGAGATTACTTTGGCAATGAAAACTACCATGTTCTTCATCCTTGCCTTCTTTGGCTGTCTAGTAGTTATACGAGTGAAATGCTAAACTGTAAATGGAACGCACTGCACTAAAATGTGAAACAGAGTTTGTAGAAAAGGTTCAACTTCTAAGTTTAGAGTGCCACTACACCAGCATATATATTGTTAAATAGGAAACCAGGAGATTCAGAACCAACAAAACATCAAGAGTAGCTTGCAGTATCACACTGTTTACTGGTTACACGATTCATAAGACTCCCTTCATATGGGAACAATTTACTTCACCTCCTTACAACTAGAAAGAGAATTACAGCTAAGAAGTAGATGGTCTAGATATAAACATTTGGAGCTCATTAGTTCAGGAAATTGCTTCAACTTCCCTCAGATTTCTCCAGTGCTGCCAAAGAAAAGGGAAAAGATAATCATGTTAGTATCCAAGCCAGCTTCTCTTAACAGCATATATATTAAGATGAAATAACCAAATACAGCACCATGGAAGATGGAAATAATATATTTTAGCAGCGACATTTAGTTTCAGATGAACATAAGTTCCTAGAGAAGAGGATCTTCGTAGTACTTAAAAACATAAATCAAGCTCGTCATAGATCGAAGTGGAAACATTAAAGATAAAAATGCTAGTAACTAGTCGTTAGTATGGTTTCCCTATGTCAAACCTCTCCGCAGAATGACTTGAAAGTTTTTCTAATTATTCTTTAGATGAGTTCGGCAGCTAAACCATGTAGATTATCCTTTCTATAATTGCTTGATTATAGGTAGGCATCATACTCACCTCTTTGAGTGAGCTGATTCTAAGAAAATAGGGGTAGAACAATTTCCAAGGTCCAGTCAAGGGGGACATGTTCATATGAAAGTATGAGCTAATATTGCTGTAGATAGACTGACTGACATCTAGTGGAAACACAAGGGTCACTGTCATGGTGATCAGTTTGGTGCTTTCAATGATAAGATGAAGGGAGGCGGCGAGGTAGTGCCTCTCCCGTGGAGCTACACTAATACGAGAACTCCGAATAGACATTTAAGCGGTATGATACAGGTTCTCTGGCAATCCATCAGATGGACACTAGTTTTTCTAAGAGGAGGCTCTATCTCCGAAATACATTATTAAGAGAAGAAAACCCAAACAATTAGTTCACATGAAGATTTATGTCATCAGTGAAATCTTTCACCTTGATGCAAAAGACAAAAGAGCAGGGTGATAATTGCTTAATTATTTGAAATCCTTCCCTATGACAGTGTATGATATCCTTAACCAATTCTATTGCAACCCCCTGATTATTCTTACAAGATTGACAAGGATATAACTAAAATAAATATCACCCTGCCAAAATGCAAAATAGGCTAGGTACAAACATTGAACACAAATGTCAAACGAAAAAGACTTGTGAAGCCAGAGTCTAGGTGTGGACCAAAAGTCTTCGATTGGCAAGCTTCTACAAGTTTTTCAAGCATATTACATTAATAATACTTACTCATAACATTTACCTATTTCATCCAAAAAAAATACTTATTCATAATTTATATAGACAAAGAAGAGAGGAGGAAGTTACTGTTGTAGTTGAGAAGCTTCTCAATGAGATCAACATGAGTCATAAGCATTCTACGACAGCAATATCTAACCAAATTCAGTGCATCAAGTGCATCCCTGCACAAAAACATAATAGATCCATTCAAATACTTGACTCAAAGAATTTCACAGGTACTTCCAGATTCTTTCTGAAGCAAACACTTGCTGCATTGATAATTCTAACTCCACCTACTTAAGCTTCGCATTCTACATTTGCGACCTCGATATTTTCACAAACAACGTCCAAAAATAGTCAAATTACCAACTCAATAGGGATGAGAGGCAATCACCGCCTAATTTTCAGCTGGATTGTCAAAAAGTTTCATCTTTCATAGTTAATTGTTCCATAATAGAATTCCAATTCAAAAGGCACTAATGGCAGACACAACAAAAATGTAGCATTTATTCTGTTTTTTTTTAGGGTTTAAGGGGGTTAGTGTATATAACGATTCTCACCCTTCGGCGTAATCAGCTTGGAGAAGATCAAGGTATTCATCCCATTTGTTGCCAATAACCTAAATATACAAATCAATTTAAGAACAAAATCAATTCCAACATAATTAATCACTCGAAACAATTAAGTAAAAATCAGCTAAATTAGTTTTTTTTTTCTGAAACAATGGAGAATTAAAAAGCTTAAAAACAAAAATTACCTTCCCGCAGGTGAAACAGCGCACTGGAATGATCATCTTGCTGAAACCCTAGTTCTAAGTCTGCAACTTTCAAGCTTCAGCAGCAATATCCCTTCGTGAGGGAAATTTCAGTCGATATATAACGGAGTAAATGGGCCTGGGCTTTTAGAAATATGGCCTTCTTTTGATATGGATCCGGTCCGATCCGATCCGACCCGACAATTATTTTTTTTTTCTCTACATTTATGAAAAAAAGCTAACCTTACATACTTGTTTGATAGCTCACACATTCAAAATATAAAAGTAGCATGAGAATGTTTGAGATGTTTGCGTGATTATATTAGATGAGATATTATTATGAATAAATATTGTGAATAAGATGAGAGTAATATTTGTAAATAAAATGGTGAAAATAAGACTAAAATAATTTAAAATGTGAAGAAAGATGTATATAATACTAGTAAAGAAGCATGAAATATTGGCTATGGTGAATTTTTTATATAGTTAGAAATAAGATGAAAAAGTATATTAAAAGAGATGATTATTAGATATGACATCACATATGTAATTCATTAACACAGGCAAAGCTTATAGGGGCAAGCGTATTCATCTAATTATACTATTTATATATAAATATTTATTTTTAATTATATATATATATATATTATGGAAAAGTATATGAAATATATTTAAATTTTGATTGATATTATTGTTACGATATCAAACTTTGAAATATATTGTATCCCTATCCCTTAATAGTGTATTTTAAAGGTGTTTATGTCCATATAGACATAAAAAATATTGCATAATTATAAATAGTGATGTGTCTATGTAAGCACGTATATCTTTAAAATACGTTATTAAATAGTCTAGGGATAAAATGTTTTCCATAAAGTTGAATATTGTAACATCAATTTCGGCCAAAGTTAGAATATCTTTCAGACCTTTTTTCCTATACAGTAGATGTTGAACCCATTCGACTCTTTTTCTTGTTTAATTATTTATATTTTAAAACTCTTTTAGTGAAAATTTTGAGCCCATTATTATTTATCGAGGATACGATTAACATGCTATGAAAAATTAAGTTATAAGACTAATACATAATTGAACATTGTCGATTATATACTTTTTATATTATCTTATCCTTCAATTGTAATTATATTGCGGTCCCATTTAAAATCTATGTTGTAATGTTTACTAAGTTAAAGGCGTATTGAAAATCGAAAATGTATTATATGAGTATCTTTTTCTCCAATAAATATTAAGAATTTTACATAAAATTTATAGTGTTAAATGTTTATTACATATTTTTACTCCTTTTTAAAATTTGATAAAATTCAAATACATCTCAAAATGTTATGATTCATTGTATTCTAATTTCGAATACATTCTTCAATGTTACGACATACTACATCTCGAATTCAGATGTAGCACTCAACATATATCGTGTAGGTCATAAATAACGCATAACATATTTGACCAATTAGAGATTAATAATTTTTGTAAATATTATAATAGAAAATTCTAAAAGACATGGTTAATTAAATAATGATAATTTTCATAAATATTTGTGTTTTTTTCTCAAATAAATATTTTTCTAAGTACCAAATTCTATTTGTTTTTGCTTTTTAGAATAGCATAAAATCCCTACTGACAGCCTCTACTTCATCGAGACTCAATTGTGAATTCCCTTTTCAAAGCACTCTTTTTCTCGTCGGAGATTCTTCGCCGGAGAAAGGAAACTCGGTTATTCATCACCTGATAGTCCGTTGAGATGGGAAGCAGCAGCGGTAGCGATGTAGAAGCGGGATTCGCGAAGCTACAAGGTGAAGATTTCGAGTATTACATGCAAACTTACTCCATAATCCTTGGCCGGAATTCCAAAAAATCAACGGTAGATGTCGACTTATCATCTCTCGGTGGCGGAATGAACATCTCCCGCCACCATGCTCGCATCTTCTACGACTTCCAACGACGTCGTTTTGCCCTCGAAGTACTGGGCAAAAACGGGTGTTCAGTTGAAGGTGTTCTTCACCTTCCCGGTACCCCACCCATCAAGCTAGATTCTCAAGACCTTCTTCAGATCGGAGATAAAGAGTTCTATTTCCTCCTTCCAATTCGTAGCATCCTTGGTGGGTCCAGGGGACAACATGTCAATGCGAATTATCCAGTGGCGGGTCCTGCCGCCATTGCCCATCATCACCACCAGCAGCAGCATTTGTCACCGTCTCCTGTTGCGAATGTAGGTGCGGGATATGGTGGGGCAGTGAACAAGGGCTTATTCAGAGGGAGAGAGTATTACGAGGAGGAATATGATGACGACGATGATGATGGTGGTTCAGTAGGTAAGAAGATGAGGAGGGGTGAAGGTCCTGAGGGTGGCGGCTATGGGTATGGTTCGTGTGGTTCCAGTGGGAAGGCTTCGATTTCTGGGCAATTAGGTCAGTAAGTTTTATATCTGCTTTATGGTATTTGTTCAGGAAATCTTTTATCTTTGTTAACCATGAGGTTCTTCCTTGAATTAGTTCTCTTTTTGTGTAGAACTGCATTTATACAGGCTATACTTTATATTCAGATTTTTTATTTCAATTGAGCTCCATTAAATTAACCTCTATGTTAACTTCTTTTTGTGAGATGCTAATTGAGGATTGTGAAGGACTTATTATGTTTTTGAATTAATAGATAGTCAAAATGTCACCTTTTTTTAATGCAAGTAGTTATTGACATTTCCATACCGATGTTTCCCTGAACAACTTTGTGGAAGAGGTGCTTTTGTTCTGTAGAATTACTCTATTGTCAGTGACCACCATGTTTTTTTCTTAGACCATTCCAAATACAGAATTCCTTGTACAGTGGTGATCTGTTCCATGGATTTAGCTCCTGCCAATAGATGCTTGTTGTAGAACCTTGCTACAGCATCTGGAGAACAACAAAAAGATTTTTAGCTTTGGTTTGGCAGAGTTTAATTCTTGCACTAGTATATCGAAATTGTTGCCCCATGAATCTACTAGTTATGAATTTGCTCGTTTTTCTGTAGACTTGTTCACGAAATTACCAAAGCATAAAAGCAGCTCTGAATGGAGCATATGGAGTTTTGTCGTGACTCAGCTTGAAGCCATGGATACGGAGTTCTTTGCCTTTCTAGTTGCGAACTCAAAATTTCCAGCTATCCTAGGCTTATTTATGACTTTTACTAGCAGATACAGTTTGCTTACCACTTCATACTGTTAGCACATCATACAGATGGTAGAAGTATGTTTAAAGCACAATCCCCTTCTACAGATAATGAATACCACCATGTGCCTTTTGGTATTGTCTCTTCACTTTTAGTGCAAAAAGCATGATTGTTCTCCTCAAAGTTCCAATTTATTCATTATAGAAAAAAAAACATGGTATACCTTCTCAAGGTACTTCTTTTAGTTTTTCTCCCTGCAATTATCCTGAAGTTAAAGTTGGTATCTGGGATTGCTAGTTGATGAAGGACTCTTTGGAACTCTGGAAATGGTATTTCTTTGTTTCCAGGTGAAAGTCATCATTGTGAGATAAAAAATGAAGGTTATGCTCATCAATTTTTGTCTTTTTGTTTTTTCTCAGTAACGCAACAATGATTTCTAGTCTAATAGGTTGACTTATAATTGGCAGTTGGATTACTTTGTTTTTTTTAATACCATGGTTTCTGGGCCAGCATGCCAGCACCTCCACTAGTTTCACGGTGTACCTGTCACCCCCCACTAACAAGTACTAGATAACTCTATTGACGAAGGCTAGAACAAATGGGAAATAATCACCTAGTGTTTTGTCTCTTATGGGAGTTGAATCTGAGACCTCATGGGAATCTTTCTCTCTGTTTTTCTAACTACATAGTGTCTGCAAAAAATTATGCCTCCTAATGTGTCAACTGAATTTCCCCTTGCTCATCCAACAATACAACTATCTGGCTGTTTGCTGTCCTCTTCACTTCAACTGTAATGCCAGTAGCTATGGTCAAATCTCAACATTGCACATGGAATGACTTCATTTATTTTTGCTTTGACTCCTTGGTTTCTGTAGTTGAACGCCCCAACATGAATCCAAATTGGTTCTCGGCAATAGACACATCCCTCCTCACCCTCATCTCCACCATGCTCTCCCTCACTTTCAAAGTGTGGCATATCAGTTTCATAACCCTATAGTTGTTGTAATTTTGAAGAAGACACTACTAGTGTATGCTCATAATCACTTACATGGAATAACATGCTAAAAACATTGAATACGCTGATACATAAAGTTGATTTCGGAAAGGATAAAATTGTGGAACTTCAATAAGAGTTCATGAGAGTGACCTGGGGTTCGGTATAGTATCATTATACAATTAAAATTGCTTTGCATCCTATTACTCTGTAGTGTTCAAGGTCGCCAAGTTGGCCTGGTCACCACGGTTATTAAAAAAAAAACAACTTTGTAGCGTCTTTGAAGAGATCACATATTAATTGTCTTAGATTCATTGGCCATTTTAATTTGTGATTGAGGTGTAGTTGATAGATTTTGAGGTAGTTAAAGCATGCATTGCATAGCAATGATAATTGCTGCAGGTTAGTAAATTAATCTTAAACCTGGTTGGACCTGTACTATCTAATGATGTCATTTGGGATATTTTAAAAGGCTGTTGATACATCTATAAGATGATATGAATGCAAAATTTCAATTCCTCACCTTTGAATTCTTGTATATTTGTATTACAGTGCATTATTCTTGTGTATGTGATTTACAAACTATTGTGAAAAATGCATGTGTCAAGAATGTTTATTTCAAAATCTGTTGTAACATCTTTCTTTTATCAGTACGAAAACCTGTTCGAACTTGATATCTGAGTGTGAAGGTTATGTGGCTGATAACGTCTTGCAGATAAGAAGATAGATGGAAGATTTCGAGCTGACAGAGATGCTGACAATCAGCAGCTCTTGCTGTTAGAAGAAAAGGATGTTGTATCATCTGTAGCTAATGTGCTTTCTGATCTCTGTGGTCCAGGAGACTGGATGCCAATGGAGAAGCTTCATGCTGAGGTAATTTTAAAGCTATCTGTCATAACTTCTTTTTCTTCAAACAAAGACAAAAACTATTTGTTTACAAAAACAAATGGAACGGGAAAAAGCATTGTTGTTTTATTTCTCCCTTTATTCTTACCCTGAATTCTCAGAATGTGAAGTTAAATTAAGGTCAATCAAGTACATTATTCAAGGCATAACTGGCTGCATTCCTCCTTTTTGATCTTCTTTTGCCCCTAAATACAAATCTGGCGCATGGTCAAATGGCAGTATGAGTGGTTTTGTGTGTGTGCTCGGAGGAGGAAGTTGCTTCTCATCATCCTTTTAAAATCAAGTGGCTATTTCTTTCATTATCTGTTCCCTTGATTTTCTTATCATCCACTTGTAATTTTCAAGTGGCTATTCCTTTCATTGTCTTTTCTGTTTTCTCCGCTGCTCCCTGATCACCTTTCTCTTGAATATCATTGGCCCTATCTTACATTAATTCTATGTTGCTTTGACTCTTCGAAAATGCTGCTGCACCCGTATCAGATCCTCGAAAACTGCACTATTTTCGAAGGATCCAATTCTCAGCCATCAGCATTTTTGAAGAGTCCAAGCAACATAATATTAATTCATCCTCTAAAAATACAGATTCAGGTACGGCATTTCCCCAGAAATTCGACATATGTTAAGTAAACTGCTGAGTTTGTGCCCTCTATATTCTTCTTTTTTAGTAGGTCCAAGTCACACACACACTATCTCTCTGTCCAACCATTAAGTTTGCTTGTTGAGCCTGCACTTTGGACCTGTCTACTTTTTATTTGCAGGTTAGTTGAAATAGTAGATCTCTTACTGATAACAATATCAAAAATGTGTGGTTATATGCATTCCTTCTTGTTTTATGCTAGTCCAGTAGTATATGAAGGGGCTCTGGTGGTGGGTCTGGGAGAAGATATCTTAATGTCAATTAAGTGGCAGTTCTCAAGGTCATCTAATATTGACAGTCTTTGTCTCGTCCTCTAAAATGGCTCCAAAACAATACTGATTCTCGTCATCTTAATGTCACGAGTATATCAGAAACCATTACTGCTTCATCATAATGTAGTAGTTGGATGATTCCCTCCCCTTTTTGGATCATAGGCACATAAACTTTTGTATTTTGTTTGAGAATTGGACTTTTCGCTGATTGTCTTCTCATGTAACTGCAGTTGGTCGAACACTATGGCGATACCTGGCACCATAGTCGAGTGAGGAGGTACCTAACATCAGAGGATTATCCCAGCCCAGAAGCCAAAACAAAGCCATGGTATGGATTGCTGGTGCTGTTGAGGAAGTATCCTGAGCATTTTGTCATCAATACGCGATCCAAGGGACGAGTGACTTTGGAGTTCGTTTGTCTTGTCTCACTACTTTCGTGAGAAATTGTATGATACTTTTTAGCTGTGTAGCTCAGCTTTAGTTGAGCCTCAAGCCACTGGGTTCAAACATGGGGCATTTGCTTGGTGGACAAAATTACTTGCTAGTTTTGCTGGTGTGAAACAGCTGATAACTCTGATAAAATAGCCAAACGCTTCTGTATTACTGCGTAACAATTTCTCATACTTCCTAGAAACATTCAAAACGATCAAAAGAAATTTAAGGATTCATCTTTTTATATTACAGTTCAGCATAAGGGAGAGTTACAAATTTTGAACATTTTCGTGGGAAGATTGATTTACCTCAAGTTCATGCAACTTTTCTAGTTAGACATTATTCTGATACATTTAATATTATTGATTACTAAATTACAGTGCTTATCAATTTATCTCCCCAAATACAGTAACTATATGTCAAAAACAGCAAAGGTTGTTGAAAAAATCAACAAATAAATATCAATACCTCTGTTTTTTTTTTTTGAAATACACTATGCCCTTCGGCATACGACCGTAACTAATAAGATATTATGTTCGGTGATAGGGATATAACTTTTTGAATATTATATTATCTCCGTAAAATTTTTTGTTATTTAAGTGTAACGAATAATTATAAAAAAGTAATTTGTTATTTAAGTGTAACAGTAAAAGGTTTGTTATTTAAATATAATATGTAGTTAGGGACATAACTATTGAAATATTATGATATAAGGTTATCCCATAAAAAAGTTGTTTGTTATTAAGTGTAACTGCTATTATCGATATAAAAAAGTTAATTGTTATTTAAGTGAAACGGTTATTATCATCGTAAAAATGTTGTTTGTTATTTCAGCGTAACGGATATTCTTGACAAACCCATTCCGAATTGACTTAGCCCATAAGGTCTCAACTGGCGGCCCATTACCAATTACCGGAGCGATACTATAAAGCTTTTGACTAGAGCGAATTTTCAAACAGAAGTTGAAAGTGAACAAAGCAAAAATTAGGGTTTTCTTTGTGTTGCCGACCAACGACGATGATTTACGACGTGAATTCGCCGCTTTTCCGATCCTTCCTCAGCCAGAAGGGAGGCGCATCTGACAAGAGGTACATATGAATTCTCTCGCTAACCGTAAATTCATCATCGCTCAATGTTTTATGCTCATTATGCAATGTTTTCCGATTTGTTGTTCAGGAGGTATTATGAATTTATGATTTATGCTGTAGGTTAGACTTATTAGGGTTACATTCTCAAATTCATAGCCTAACCTAACACGTTAAGTTTAATAGTTTGTGAGGTGGATTTTGCCTGCTTGCGGAAGAAGATTCTTAATTACTAGTCTGTTAGATTTTCTTTCACATTATCTGCGACACATTGCATGCCCGATATCTTTGTTCGTTTCCGTTTAGGTGTGTTCTGGGCTTTGAATAGATTTTATATAGAAAGTTCTCGATTAGCTCTTCTCTATTGTGAGCTTTGTATAAACTTGTCAATTTGTTCTGCTCTATTGTACAACGGCGATGAGTTATGTTGGGTTTGACTATTAAATGTGTTTGATAGGAAATTGTGTGAATGCTTTTATATTATGGTCATGCTTCGTCAATACACTTTCTTGTCACGGCTGATTGTTTGTGTAAGACTGAAATTTGGATTCAGTTTCAGAAATAATTCGATTAGGAAACATGTTGACTTTTGGCTTTTCCTATGCTTTGCTCAGTAGGTATTTAATGTTATAGAGAAACCAAAGCAACCTCAGCCGTAATGATGAGATATTTTCCTCTAGATGTCATGTTTCTGTTCACGCAGCATCTCAGGTTGTCTTGTAGTATACATGTATCTTGCCAAAAAAATGTTTTCCAATGTTATTATGGCTTAATACAATCTCTAATGATTCTTGTTATGAAGCTGCTTCCGTAAGAAAACATCTTTTAGGAAAGCACTGAACTTTGCACTTCAGATCCATCAGAATCAGCTACTTGTGGCAAGTAGCTGTTTAGTTAACTGAACATTCAGATTAGAGTCTCTAATATTGTTTAGAGATCTTGAAATTGGGTTTAAAGCTCTGTTGCTCTTCAAAAATATCTCCAGGTGTGTCAGTCCTCCGAAAGCTATGTACTATTGGAGGGTCAGACACGTGTGCCAACATTTTTGGAGACATCGAGTAACATGGGTTTTAAGTACACTAAGGGGTCATTGTCATTTGGTATTGTCTTGGGATAACGTAACTCATCATGTATATGCTATAAGTTATCCCAAACATGATAACCAAACAAGACATCTAAATTTTATTCCAGGACTATTTATTATTCTTATCCCTCACACCAAACGAGAACATTCCTGTTCCTTTATCTACTGTAGTTTTCGGTCCACTTGTGTGGTTGTGTTCCTTTGTTGTCGTGTCAACAGCTGCGCTTCATACCACAAAGCATTTTATGGGGCGGTGCCTCTTAACCTTTTTGTTCAATTCTGCAGGAAAACCGAAGAGCAGAAGCCCAAGGAACAGAGGCCAAAAGCAAGTGAAAACAAACCTGTTATGAATGAGTGAAAGCTGCCAGATGTTTAACTTATTTTAGCATATCTGGAATGTTGTTAAGCAACTCTTTTACAAGATGTGGAATATGTACTGAATTTGACATTTAAATGGATCATATATCTTTTAAGATATTTGATCCTTTACTTCTATTGGTTTTAAATTTGCGATCCAAGCTTTTGATTTTGGCACCAATTAGTGTCACGCCGGTGGTTTGACTAAGTTTTACAACTTGAGAATCAGTAGGGTAACCGTTGGAAGGAAGATCTTCTTTCTTTCTTTTTTTTAGGAATCACAAAACCGGTTTAGGCTTCTTTTAGTGCATTTAATTTAGGCTTCTTTCACTGATCGCATCGAGTATAATTTTAAGTGGGGATGATTGATTATTCCTCATATGAATTATAGTGAAATTTTTCTATAAACAATCTTCTTCTTCTGTAATAACATTTTGATATAATTTCAGAATCATTATATAGAGATTTGATCGTATATTCTCGTTGTTTCAAAATTAGATCACACCCCTATAGGCATTTACCATCACAAAGTCACAACACTGTTTTTACAGGGCACTAGATTCTTCTTTTACTTATTCTTCCCCCATTTCTCCTCCATATTCCATTTTTCAATTCCCCCCTCGTTCTCCACTACTATTCTTCAGGAATAAAAATGTCTGAGCTGTTCTTATCTATCAATTCTACAAATACTCAATTTTATGCTATTATTTATTATCTTTGACTTCCTCTCCCTTCATTCTCTTTGCTTCTCCTACTCCATTCTAATCTTTCTTCAACTTGTAAAAATATCCTATCTTTTCTCTCCCCTTTTGCTTTTTTCCTTCATCCCCAAAGATCTTTTTTTGAATCAGACATGTTTAGTATTATTCTCTCCCCTTTTGCATTCTTGGATTGTAAATCAGCTAAGGGAAGTGAAAGTTTAATTCTTGTTGAAACTCAATAGAATTTTGGGGAATCTTAGTAGTTCAGTTTGTTCGCTAAACTTTGATTCCCTATGGTGTAATCCCCTCCATCATTTCCCATTCCCCTACCCCCATTTTTTTTTTATGAAGTTGACTTCTAGGACTGTAAATCAGCTGAGGGGAGTGATTGATCAATTCTTGAGTCATCATGTTATGAATTAGGCTCTAGTACAGCCATATGTGTAAGAAGAGAAATTTCAGCTGAAATGAGTAGTAATAGGGGCATAATGAAGAAGAAGATACTGGAAGACTTCTTGAAAGAACTTGATGTGTTTGAAGAGAAGAAAATTGAGTCAAAGGGGACAAAATTCCATAAAGCAAAAGATTGGAAAAGGACATTGGGATGTAAGTTTTATGAGGAAAGGCTCAGTGCTAGTAATAGCAGTGGTGAAGGAATGGATTTGTTATGGGAAAAGTACGAAATCGACTCTATAAAGAAAGAAAACAGAGATGATAAAAAGAATAAGAAGATGAAGAAAAAAGAAGAGGTGAAGAGCTATGTAAAAGTAGAACAGATAAATGAGCACATTGATCAGTTGTGTTGCTTACAGGCACTAAAGTTGTCAGCTAGGAAAATGAATTTGGGAATTGGAAGGTCTAATTTTGTGAGGATTTCTAAGGCAATTAAAGGGCTTAAATGGATACACCATGTGAGCAAGAATAACAAGAAGGTTCATTGTGGAGATTGAGAGTTTTCACATTACTTTGCTAGTTTCTATAAAAATAAAACTTGAAATTGTTTGTAAATTCCTTGTATGTTTATCCTTCATATGATATCGGTATGAACTATGTCTGAATCTCAACCAAGTTTACGTTGGCTATAGCCTCTCAATTTATGCTCATTTCTTTTGGTATTGTTATGATTCATCATATATTCATAAGTTCTGCTCTAGTAGTCAAACTATGGTAACCCTCTTCGTCTATCCAAGTTTGGAACCAACAATATAGACAGGCTCACACAGGCAGTGTTATATTCCATATTTGTCTCTATGTTAAGTAAAATGAGATCCCAAATCTCAACAGTATAGTGCTGTTTACTCAAAGGTTATTTTGCTGTCTGGCTCAATTTTGTCTACTTTCAACAGTAAAAGGCTGAGAAATTCTAGAGCGTTTGGGAGCGTGGTGTGTAGGCATACCTTACCACTACCTGGAGACGTAGAAAGGTTGTTTCTAATGGACATTAGCAAAACAAGCAGGAACAATCAACAAGAACACAAAGTTACATTACCAAAACACTCTACTACCTATTAACCTTCTATCTTAATTTTCGACCTCCACACCCTCTTATCAGAAGTTATGACATGTCCTGCCTAATCACTCTACCGGCCTACCTCTCGCAACACATAAGGGAGCTAGGGCAAGAATCTGCAGATCAGCCAGTACTGATGCAATAGAGATTTGGTAATTATGTCTAAATCAAGATTAAAACAGTAAAAGTCATTAGGCCTTCCTTATCCAAATAGCATTTTTTTGCTGATACAAAACAAGGAAAATTGGTCACAATCTACATACTGTTCTCTTCTATATGAGTAGTGTTTTTGGTCAATAAATCTATTTTATGAATTGCATTTACCTTTCTCTATTGCATCTTCAGACTTCAGATCAAGGAATGTAATCTTCATCAGACTCATCAGATTGAAAAGGTGGTCACTAAATCTAATCAGAATTCCATTTACATTTCCATATCATCTTCAGAGTTCAGTTCAAGGCATGTCTCCACCAGTCTAATCAGCAAATTTATCGAATCAAAATCGTTTTCACTATCCTCCTCCATTGATCCTTTTGGCAATTCTTCAACAGTTTCAAGGTTAGACCTTTTCCTTTTTGACAATAATACTTTGGAACTTTGATTCGCTTCCACAGCTACAGATGACGGAATTTCTTCACTGATCCAACAACTCATGTTAAGACATCATTTTTCGAGAAAAAAAAATTAATTAAGGACATTTTGTAATTCTTGAAAGAAAATGTACCCTTGCTCAATATATTTGTTCTGGAGAGGAAAAAGATCCGTGCTTCGATTAGCAGATTCAATTGTATCCTAAATCAAGAAAGAAGATCATTTTTCCAACTCACAGAACAGAATACATAAATGGTGATCAGATAAGCAGAATGAATACCAGGAATATAGGGATCATGAAGTTCGTGTTCGTTTGAGAAAATAATTCTTGCATAATTGGTTTATACTCTTCTTCTTCTTGTACTGCAGACTTCATCTTTTGTTTCTTATTTTGGCCATTTTCGCGTTTATCTTCAGACATGATCTTGATGAAATTTCTTCTTGATTCCGAGTTTGAACAAGAACAAGAAGATGATGATAATGAAAGTTGCAGAAGAAATGTAGAAGCAGAGAGGAAGAAAGAAAAAGAGAGGGAAATAGACTAATTTTTGAACTATTTATAATTGTAGTTAACTAACTTCCTAGTTTGTTAAGAAAAAAAAGAAGTAATAACTAAGTTTTGGAGTGTTTATATTAGTGATATAATTTCGTAGTTATTATCATTTATTTCTTCATTTAACTATCTTAATAGTGACAAATTAAAATAACGTCCCCTTCATAGTAGCAGATATTTCACATTGTTTAATAGAATTATTTGATTGTGCAGATATTATTCATGTCGTACACAAATTTTATACTTTGACTATGGATTTTTATATCGGCTAAACTAGTTTGAGATTGAGCTCAAGTGGATAGTGAACTCTATTTCTTAATAAATACGAAAATACTGAGCAAATCGCACCTTTGGGATGATTTAAGTAAATATATTCTTTTAAATTTTATCTTTATACTTGATTAGTTTTTGATATTAACAAAATATTAGACTATTAATACTAGATATTAGACTATGATATACTCTTTATGCTTTATATATTAGGTATGATAAGCATGATATATATATATATATATATATATATATATATATATATATATATTAATACAAAATAATACTCCACTTTATGTATATTTGGCTATTATCAGTGTTGTGTAACAACTAGTGTGTGAGGATGATAATGTGTACACGAGATTATACCTTCTTTGTAAGACTGAAAAATCTAATTATTTTGATTGATGGTAACATTTGTTTAAGCGGCATAATGTATAAATATGACTTTAATTTGGTATCAGTTGGTAACTATGACCTTTGACTTTTGACGTGAACAAGTAGACACTTAAACTTGTATAAAATTTAGCAAATAAACACATTCATCCTACATGACAATTTTGTGTCGTACATGACATTTTACATGTATAATGTCTTGTAGGACACTTGTGCCTTCGTGTTCAATATTACATAAGTTTAAGTGTCTATTTGTGTTTATTTCAAAGTTGAAGAGCATAATTATTTGTTGAAGTCAAATTAAGAATTATGTTTATATACTATGACTATTTGAGCCCTAACACCATGGGTTGGGCTACGTAGAAATTGGGCCTTGCTAACTACTTTTGTATAGCCCTAATTAGTTTCATTATTGTACTTATTTATTCCCAAACAAATTATTATTAAACACAATGTGAAATTGCCAATAATTGCAAAACCCCAAGTTAGAGACAAATACAGCGTGTAATTATTTTAAAACTAATTGTTCAAAATTATTATCCTACATTTAATATGGGATAAAAATGTAACAACAATTATCAGATAGTAGCAATTTTATCTAACTAAATATGAAATAAAGTATTAGTATCAAAAGAGTAGGACCCACTTACTTTATCAAAAATGTGGGACCCATACCAAACTCCACCGTCAAATCCGCGTTTCTTGCTCACTCGCCAGTTGCCTCTCTCCAATTTCTCCATTTTTTCTCAAAAGTGTGAAATAATCACACACTCGTAAAATCAAACAATAAATACTCCTCCCTCTCAACCATAAGTGAAAAGCAAGCATTATATCTCGAAAACGGAGACTTGCTTAACAAAAATGGCTCTCCGGAGCTCCCGTACGGTCACCGGCACCGGAATACGGTTCACCTTCAAACTATTCGCGTCTTTTATCACTGTCGCTGTTTTGCTTTCATTAGCTCTCTCTTCTCTCTACACTTCCTCTGCAGATCCTTCTGATCTCGGCGTTGTAAGTACTTACATTCGCAATTTCTCATTTATCTGTATGCGGTTGATTCACTGTCGGTTAACCTATAATCTATGTATTTTTTTTTCTTATTATTATTGACTTGTGATCTCGTGATACTTTACTTGATTTTTTGTTAATTATTGAGTATCTGCATGTTATCAAGTTACTTAGATCTAAATCTGGAAACATATTATTATGATTATTTTTTGTGATTTTTTTCCTTAGGATCTCAATCTGGATGCTTTCATTGTAGACATTTTTACATTATGTTTTATTCTCTAGTTAGTAAGATCTTAGTCTAGAAAGATTTGATTGGTTATTATCATCTCATGAATTTTGAAATACTTGTCCGTGCGTGGTGATTCTAAACTTGTTGTTGAGCTTTTGTGATTCCACGAGGTTTTTATGAGTTCTGAGTTTTAATATGCATGAATTGCATAATTTCTCTTGGATCTTTCTTTATCCCTAAGTAGGTATTGTATTGACAGTGTCAAATGTGATTCAATAGGGAATTTCACGTGATTTTAGAGTAGTTGGATCATTACGAAGGTCGGTTTTGGCTCTAAAATCTGATCCATTGAAGCCGCGGCTAGATCAGATCAAGAAGCAAGCAGATGATCACCGTTCCTTGGTTCTGGCTTATGCTTCCTATGCTCGGAAGCTGAAGCTTGAGAACTCAAAACTTGTTCGAGTTTTTGCTGAGTTATCTAGGAACTTTAGCGATCTGACTTCAAAACCTTCATACCGCCAACTGTTTGACTCGGATGGTAACTCAATGAATGAGTCAGTTCTTAGGCAGTTTGAGAAGGAGGTGAAGGAAAGGATTAAAGTCACCCGGCAAGTTGTTGCTGAGGCGAAAGAGTCATTTGATAATCAATTGAAGATTCAGAAGCTGAAAGATACAATATTTGCTGTCAATGAGCAGCTAATGAAGGCGAAGAAGCAAGGTGCTTTCTCGAGCTTGATTGCTGCCAAGTCTATCCCGAAGAGCGTGCATTGTTTGGCAATGAGGTTAATGGATGAGCGTATCACTCATCCTGATAAGTATACAGATGATGGGAAGCCTACTCCACCAGAATTTGAGGATCCTAGCCTTTATCATTATGCAATCTTCTCTGACAACGTTCTTGCTGCTTCAGTTGTGGTGAATTCAGCAGTTAAAAACTCGAATGACCCATCGAAGCATGTGTTTCACGTGGTGACTGATAAAATGAATCTTGGGGCTATGCAAGTTATGTTCAAGATGAAAGAATATAATGGGGCTTTTATCGAAGTGAAGGCGGTCGAGGATTATAAGTTCCTGAATTCTTCGTATGTTCCGGTACTTAAACAGCTTGAATCTGCAAAACTTCAGCAGTTTTACTTCGAGAATAAGCTCGAAAATGCAACAAAGGATACAACTAATATGAAATTCAGAAACCCGAAGTATCTCTCCATATTGAACCACATTAGATTCTATTTACCAGAATTGTACCCCAAGTTGCACAGGATATTGTTCTTGGACGATGATATTGTTGTTCAGAAGGATTTGACTGGTCTATGGAAGATAGATATGGATGGTAAGGTGAATGGAGCTGTGGAGACATGTTTTGGTTCATTTCATCGCTATGCACAATACATGAATTTCTCTCATCCATTGATCAATTCTAAGTTCAATCCCAAGGCGTGTGCATGGGCTTATGGAATGAACTTCTTTGATTTGGATGCTTGGAGGAGGGAGAAGCTCACAGAGGATTACCATTATTGGCAGACTCTGGTAAGATATACTAGCCATCCATTTCATTTATGTGGCAATTTTATCTGCGGATGAAGTTCAAGAAAGAAAGGACTTTTGAACTTCTTGTCTTAATCCCTGCCATAATATTTATGTGGCTATAAAAGCATATTATTACGAGTAAATGGGAAACTCAAAATTTAAGCGTTTCAAAATGTATAAATGTGTTCATTCTTCTCGAAACAGACTATAGAGGAAAAAGTGTGCCGCATTAAACAGAACATAGGATTAGTAGAGTTATATTTATTCCGGAAATGTTAGATTACAACTTTTTATGGGTAGTTCTTGGGTGTGTTTAGTATGGGGAAAAACAGTTCCCAAAAGGTGTCTTTCAAATTTTCCATTTTTGGTTGGTCGAAATATTTGGAGAACATATTCTAAAGAGAATAAGTTCCTTAGAAATGATGAAAATGACCTCGCTAATAGAAGTACAGAAGACAAGTTCGACACATCACATTTCACATCAATTGTTTCATCCTCACCCTTCAAACACTCCACCACCGTAGTCCATACCCACTAACTTACACCCCTCCCTACCTCCAACTCCAATAGTTTTTTCTAGATTATACACGAATACTTAAGAAAATAATATTGTATCTATGTACCAAATACAAGAAAATTTGTACGAAGGTCACTTATTTTCCTTCGTACAAACCCTCCCGTTGTCTTGCATGTTCTTATTAAGCACGGATCTGCCTTTTTTTCTATCTATAACAAAGAATATAGGTCATGTGCATACATGCATGCTCGCAGGCGTACACATGCATACATATGTGCTCCTGTTTTGACCTCATCTGTTTTGAGCTCTCTACAGAATTTGTCCAGTAGTTATAACCTGTGATCTGAAGAGGTTATTAAGCATGGTGTCTTGCTTCTGGTAGGTTAACTTAGTCACATATACTAGCTTTTGCAGCTATTTCCGTTAAAGCAATTTTTCCAACTTCTAAGGTGTCATGCTGCATCGCATTTTAATTAGTTAGACTTGTACAGTGTGAATTACAAGTTTTTACTATTTTCACTAAAGGGGGCTTCTAATCTTTGCAGAATGAAAACCGGACCTTATGGAAATTGGGTACACTGCCTCCAGGATTAATCACATTTTACTCCACAACAAAGCCACTGGACAAATCATGGCATGTTTTAGGGCTTGGTTATAATCCAAGTATCAGTATGGAAGAGATCAATAATGCTGCAGTTGTCCACTTTAATGGGAATATGAAGCCATGGCTTGATATTGCAATGGCCCAATATCGGCCTTTATGGTCGAAGTATGTGGATTATGAAAATGAGTACGTGCAGGGGTGTAATTTTGGTTTTTAAGTACATGAGAACAGGTGGATATTTGCTTGTCGGGTTCAGCAAGCTATTCCTGCAAGCATCCCTCAATATGACTTGTTCCTGCTCAGTCACACTGAAAATTAGTATCCACTTTCTATGTCGTAGGTGTTATCTTGTCTATCCAAGTCTTATTTATTTTTTCGAGCAGTAGTTTAGCTTTAGTTTTCAATTGTCTATACGATGTTTACTATTTTTATGGACCAGAAGTAAAAATAATATATCTTGTTATATTATTTCAGAAGGCTACTGTCAGAGCTGAGATATTTGCAATTTTGTGGGTTAATGTATTAC